CACATCATAAAAGTTGAATATTTCATGTACTATTAGAACAATGTAACTCGTATTAATTTAAACGGGCACGCTGAGTGACGTCACTCCCGCCATGTTTTCTGATTGGTTGAGAGTTACCAGACAACCTCTCTATTCTACAGACCTTGTATTTACACACGCTTTTTCTGATCCGGATCATCATTTCTTTTATAGATTTTGTGGAAAACAATTTTGTAGGAATACTTATGTGTTATAATTTCTCTACAGTGGTATACAATGCATGATAAAACTTTAGTTTTTTGTTTGTGTTTAGATTTTGAATTTGAGTAAAAATAAAGAAAACAGAAAAAAATGTATAAATTACACGCGCACAAATACTGTAAAATGAACTAAGAATCAAAATAAATTATATTCTAAAAATGCTGCTATTAAAATAGTAAATGTATTGCGAAGAATATCTGTATATCAATTATAATAAACTAAGTAGAAATTTTTCGACTTTACTAAAAGGTATTTTTTTTATGAAACATTATTTTAGATAAATTTTATGTATTTCAGTTCTATATTGATGCGATAATGGACACATATGGAATATTTTATTATTTAAAGTATTTATAAATGCACTTTCTCTGACATTTGTTGTTGAATATATAATTAAATACTATATTTGGCTGATGTATTCTTTGCGATAACACTTTGCTATATCAGTCGGGAATTTACATTGGAATCAGTCAGCGCACAAAAGCATGTTAAGTGGTTTCGCGCACAGCAAAGGCAGGGCAATGGGGAATCATTTTAACCATCTGCAGTATTGTCCATTAACAATAGCACCGCGTGACTTCTTCTATTAGCCTTCTACGTTGTCGAGTGCGTACTTCAGCCTGTACTCCCCATCAGTTTTACAAGTCTTTAGTCTATATTGAAGTAAACTCTCTAGCACATATCGCTAGTCTTCATTCAAATTTTTAGCCGGTTCAGACACGACACAGGTGAATAATTGATAAAAAAATATCTCGAATAATTTTACAAAGTCAAAAACTAATAATTTTATTATTTCAAATACTAGTAATTGTATGCGTAAAACCATTATTGATCTCTGGATATTTGTGCAATGTAAAAGGCTCGATGAGATTGTACACCTATTTACAGAAGCGTGTTCTTAACTTTGGAACTGCGCGATTTCCTCTATAAGCTCTCTACGTCAGCTATCAAATAGTGCTCAATAAGTTTGTTTGTTTGATAAGTGAACGTCAACATGTCATTTCTTACGATCAGTTTGCTGATGAAAAATAAGAACGGCAAATTGTTGAAACAAAAGTTAAGTTTGTTTTTTTATTATACATTTGTACATTACTGTAGTCAACGTCACATTCAATATAGTTTACAAATAAAAATTTTTAAAAATAACAAAACTTAAAAAACGAATCGAAAATTCTTCAGTTTGCAAGTGCGGAATAGCGAAAAAACTTTCCTCGGAACAAGTCATTTCAAGAGTAACAGACCCATGTGTAAAATTTTCCGCTGTCGTCGGTCGAGGACAGTCATACTCTCGGATATTCGCAGAAAGAAAGAGAGGAAGAGAAAAAAGAGAGAGAGAGAGAGAGAGAGAGAGAGAGAGAGAGAGAGAGAGCGCTCCTCTTCGCCTGATGTTACGTTATCGGAGACGACGGATAATTAATTAGAGTGCCGGTGCAAACAGGACCAGGTTTGACAGGAGGATCCGTGACTACTCTACTACGGATACGTCCGGGAACTCTAGCGTATACCTTGCGTGCGACCGTGATGCAAATATAATCGGCGGCATTTCCCACGAGAGTGCGAGACG